ACTAGATGGGGGGGGGGGCGGTGTGCAGGACAAACATATAAATTGTGACACTAATTCTCCACATATGTCAGTTGCTTAATTTAGAACCAGTACTTTAGGTCGATCTCGAACCCATTGTTGATGTGACGACTTATATTGAATTTTGTAACTAGCTCATCAAGACTAACTTGCTTAGCTAAATGAATTGTGGGGTTCAGTCCCTGAGCCCATTATGTGCCTCTGTAGCCCTTTCCACTACCGCCCACAAGATGGGTATGGGGTGCATAATAAATAAACTAAACTAACTGCTGTCGCTTTTAGTTATGTTTCTTGGCTGCCGAGGAAAAGAAAAGCATTGCCAGACTTGTAGCTTTATTGATCAAATAATTACAGTAGAGTTACATCCTGCAATAATACAAGCCATATAATATACAGTTTAAGCACTGTGTGACGGAAAAAGTAGGTGTTCGTGCAGTCGCTAGGCAGATGGAATGCCAATCATATAAAATAGCAAAAAAAAAATAAAAAAAACAAACTGCAAGTTGTCTTCACAGTGAGGTAAACTGTAGGATAAAGCAGAGGGAAAAAATATTTAAAAATACTTTACTTTGATAGAAAAAATGAAATTAAACAAATTACAAAACAAAATATCCAGGCTTGGCTCTAATACAAAGTGTGTGAAACAAACGAGGTGCGCTATCTAATTTACGTTAAGTTAATGTGCAAAATAAAATATGGTGCGGGAATACTGTGAGCCAGACTAACTAAATCCGTTACCACACCGAGATATGTGTTAACGGGTCTATTCAGTTGAGCACGCAGGAGCAATCTAACTTGTAGTGGGCTAGGCAGCCCTATATATACACAATGACGGCCGAGCAGATGGCGCTGGTGACTTCTTTAACTATTAACCAGCTGTTAAACTGCTTGTTTTGGATGGTGTGAGCTCCCGGGGCGTCGCCAGGTGCGAGGAGGGTGACGGGCTGTGAGGTAGGTAGACTGGTGGTATTGTCTAGACGTCTGGAAGTAGTTGTTCTTCTTCTTGTGGCTGCAGTACTTGAATATATAGATGGGATATGGGTAGAATAGGTGATGATGGAGCAGGCCGAATCTCTTACTAGAGATTTTACCGTGACAACTGTCTATTCACTATAACAATAAGCAAACTGCATATGACTAAAGCTAGGACAAATAAAAATTAACCTAGAAGTTAACATTCTACCAACCTGCATACAAGCACGACACAGCTGATCTGACGACCCAGTAGTCATATCTGAGCAAAGGAATGCAAAAGGAAATCTAGAGAATTCATCTACAACAGTAAGAATATATTTATTCCTTGAATGTGATGGAAGTGGTCCTTTAAAATCTATGTTGAGTTTTTTTCAAATGGCTGAGTAGCTTTAATCAAATGCCCAGAATCAAACTTGTAAAACCGAGGTTTAAGTTCAGAGCACGCAGAGCAAGAATTAGTCATCTTCTTCACTTCTTCCACAAAATAAGGCAGATTTCGACATCGGACAAAATGAGCCATACGAGTTAGTTAGTTTAGTTAATTTATTATGCACCCCATACCCATCTTGTGGGCGGTAGTGGAAAGGGTTACAGAGGCACATAATGGGCTCAGGGACTGAACCCCACAATTCATTTAGCTAAGCAAGTTACAATCTTGATGAGCTAGTTACAAAATTCAATATAAGTCATCACATCAACAATGGGTTCGAGATCGACTTCAAGTACAGGTTCTAAATTAAGCAACTGACATATGTGGAGAGCTAGTGTCACAATTGATATGTTTGTCCTGCACACCGCCCCCCATCCAGTGGGCAGCGGTGGATAGGTTACAATCACTTAGTTGCTACCTACAGTTAGCAAACTGGGGATATTTTGCGAGACACTCCAGGGTGACACAGATTGTCATGCAATTTCTTAAGTTCATCCACACTGGTGGCACCACATACGCGTGAGAATGCATCAGCGGGTATATTTTTTTTCCTGGGTGATATACAATGCCATAGTGGTAACAGGAGAGTTCAACTCGCCATCTAGCAATTTTATCATTTTTAATCTTACCAAATGATTTAGAGTTAAACATAAAAGCAACACTACGCTGGTCAGTCACAAGCCGAAAATGGCGTCCAATGAGATAGTGTCGCCACTTCCTTAGGGCTTCCACAATGGCATACGTTTCCTTCTCCACTGATGAGTGCCTCTGTTCGCTATTTGAAAGTGTTCGGGAGAAGAAAGCTACTGGTTGTTCATTCTGGGTGAGGGTAGCGGCAATAGCATGATCTGAAGCATCGGTTTCCACAGCGAAAGGAGGTGTTGGGTCGATTGCTCGAACCACTTCCTCAGCAATGTCTCGTTTTAACCCTTCAAATGCTTTCGCAGTGGCAGCAGATAAGGGAAAATCATTGGCATGAGAGAGAGGACGGATCTTCTCAGAAAACCCCAGCACCCAACGGGAGTAATGTGCAAGCATTCCCATTGTTCTGCGTAAAGAACCTGTGTTGCTTGGTAGTGGAAGTTTTAACAGTGGCTCGAGGCGTTCTGGGTCAGGTCTAATTTCTCCTTGTATAAGGTATCCCAACAGCTTTATAGACCGGAGTCGAAAACTACACTTTTCAAAATTCAGGGTCAGGTTATACCTTCTTGCAACGTCCATAAAATATTTCAGATTTTTATCATGGTCGTCTTCAGAATCTCCACACACACAGACATCATCTTTGTAAGCAAAGGTGCCCTCCACTCCTTCTTTCTCGAGGATGCCATCAATTACTCTTCGAAAACTGGCCACTCCATTAGTGACCCCAAAAGGGATACGATTAAATTCAAAAAGCTTTCCACAAGCTTCAAAGGCTACATAAGTTTTACTTCCTCTGTTAGACCCACTTGATGGTAAGCACTTCTCAAGTCTAGCGTGATGTATACTTTAAATCTAGCAACGTTATTCACAATCTCATCTATATGTGGTAAGGGGTAGGCATCCAGCCCCGTGAATCGGTTGAATGTTTGTGAATAATCTACAACCATTCTTTTCTTGTGATGGTCTCCTTTAGTTACTAATACCTGGGCTCTCCATGGAGAATTACTGGGTCTAATTATCTCTTCACGCAGCATCCGTGTGGTCTCAGATTCAATAAACAACTTGTCAGCCTCAGAATAGCGTCTGGATTTTACAGCAATCAGCTTGCAGTCTGATGCTAAATTACTGAAAAGGGATGGAGCCGGTACTTTGACGGCAGCTAATCCATATATTCTAAGGGGAGGTTTTTCGCCTCCAAAAGCCATCTCGAATACAAAATGATTCCGTAAAAATGTATGGCCCAAAATCACATCAGCACACAAATCGGGTAACACTTTGAGATGCACACCATGGTAAGTTTCTCCTTGCAGTTAGTTTTAAGTCTACAGAACACTGACCTAGGAATTTTGAAGAGAACGATACAGTAGCCATAGAAACTGCCCCATTGTCAGGATAGACGAGTAACCCACTCTGCTCGGCAATATTCTTATGAATAAAGTTCTCAGAGCTACCAGTTCAACCAGTGCGCTGACTATTGATCTTAGAGCTAAGCACTGATTTATTGCGGCATGAGGGCGAAGTCCCAGTTAAAGTAGGAAGCATAGCAGTTGAGTGTTTGAAGCACTGTTAGTCTGTTTCAGAGATCGGCAGACCTTAGCATAATGACCTTTTTTCTTGCAATTCCTACACAGAGCCTCTCTAGCTGGACATCGACTGCGAGGATGTCGAGTGTAACCAGAAAAGAGCACTTTAAACCACTAGTTGTAGCTGCAGAAACTGTTTCAACTTTTTCTTCTACACTTTCTTGTCCTCCTGAGTCCTCCAGGGCTAATGAGAGTGCCATGGCAGCGTTAGTAGCCCCTGGCTGAACATAAGAGGCAGAAAGTTTCTGTGCCGTTTCTCGGGTGTGAGCCTGATCAAAGGCTGACTGTAAGTCTAAAGTTTTATTTTAAAGCAAGCGCTGCCTTATTGTGGCAGAACCTAGCCCATTAATAAAAGCATCTCTCACATAGTTATCACAAGTTTCTACAGCAGTCACTGCTCTGAACTGACAATCTTTAGCCAATAATTCTAATGCCTGAAGCAAAATTTCATAGTCACAGAAGAGTCAAACTTCATCCCCAAGATGTCAACTGAACACTAGGTTTTTGCCACTCATTTGTATACCTGTCCTAGTTAGTTACAGTGTTATGCTGTCCTGTTACCATCATTTCCAGTGTTTTTTTTTCTGCTGCAAATGTGATTTGCCATCATCTTTCCCTTGGTAGATATTGCTAAATGTTGGTGATTAATGACCCTTGTAGCAACTGGTATTTCTTCTTTTCATTATTCACCGGGGCAATAGGAGCCTCGAAGACGCGATCTCCAGCATGAGAGTTTTTTTTAGTTTCGTTCATTTATTATGCACTCCATACCCATAATGTGGGCGGTAGTGGAAAGAGTTACAGAGGCACATAATGGGCTCAGGGACTGAACCCCACAATTCATTTAGCTAAACAAGTTACAAACTTGATGAGCTAGTTACAAAATTCAAAATTAAGTCGTTACCTCATCAGTGGGCTCAAGATCGACCTCAAATACAGTTTCTATATTAAGCAACTGACATGTGAAGAGCTAGTGCATGAGAGACGAGTGTTCTATCGACTCAGCCACGAGCTACAGTAGCCCCAAGAAGAAAGGATTTCAGAGGCACCAAACCGCCGCCTAAATTGAAACTTTAAGCCTTCCCTGGGCTGCCACTTGAGCACAGAAGAATTAGGCAATCCACGCCAGAGTTATATAAATTGTGGTTATGGCTCAGTCGATAGAACACTCGCCTGTCATGCTGAAAGTAGCGTGTTCGAGGCTCCTATTGCCCTGATGAATGAACTGTTGTGAGAGAGAGAGAGAGATTGATTCTCAGGTAAACAATTATTTGAAAATAAAATTATGTATTATTAAATGACCGTAATCAAAAGTTATAAATGACCATAATCAAATGTTACATTTCTCTTAGTGAAATCATCCGCCTAGGAGACTGGGACTTGAGCTCTGACACGGACTGTGAGATTACTCGACAAGGAAATAAAAACTGTGTGCCCCCGGCCCAGGACTTTACTCATGAAGAGGTCATAATTCACCCCGACTATAATACTAGAGTACAATTTTCTGATGATATTGCTCTTATCAGACTCAGTAAATCCATCGACCTTACTGCACGTAAGTGAATACTTTATCTTTTGAAATTTTATTTATTTATGTCTATATCAAGGCAATAAACAGGGTAAGGAAAGGAGTCGTGTGCAAAAATATTCAGCCTAATAAATTCCATTTGTACCAAGCTAATAAGCTAACAATTTGTATAATTTCATTATTTTTTTTAAATTGTCTTATGCGTCAATCTATATTTTAATATTTGTATAGCGCAGTCGACTCAGCGCCTTATTCGTCAATCTAGCCTAATGCATTAATGAAGCCTTACAAAGAGATCTATGTGAACTCCATAAATGGTCAGAAGACTGACAAATATTATTTAATATCGAAAAATGCAAGACTATGCATGTGGGGCTTAACAACACACGTTACAACTACCAAATTAATAACATTACCCTGCAGCAGCTTGATGAAGAAAAGTACCATAGAGTCAAAATCCACCATTCACTAAGAGTTACACAACAGGTAGGAGCAGCAGTAAAAAAAATGCTAACCAAACCATACGAATAATCAAGCATATCTTTGACCTTAAGAAAAAGAAGGTATAATTAAATCTCTGGTGTGCCCCCACCTGGATTATTGCATCTTCAGAAAGACATAGCCACATCTCTCTCAACATCCACCCTCTCCTTCCTTCTTTACATTCCTTACCATTTCTTCCCTCCATCCTCTCCTCTTCCCCTTCCATTTCACGAGGGTAAACAGCGGGAGTCAACATCAAAACTATGGTTTCCACAACCCGATTTTATTTCAGACTTCATGGAAATCACATGGGGATGATATGATATTTAATATCATCATATGAAGATGATGATATTTCTTAAATCATGACACTTGGGCTGACCCCAACTGGCCTATGATCCCACACAATCCACATGATTCATATGTTTGATGTGTAAAGTGTTTAGCCTCCTACTTTGGACATTCTATTTTATAAATATTGATTATCCCAAGACAATTATTATATTGGCATTAGGTTATGAGGGAGTTTATGACATATACAGAGAATTATATTTCTCTGCATATAATAACCTCCCTAATAACCTAATGCCAAGATAATAATTATATAAAAATAATAGTCATTCTATTTTATATGTACTGTATAACTATTATATTTATTTTATATATAGCTATAGTTTATGTATTATTTATATATATATATATATATATATATATATATATATATATATATATATATATATATATATATATATATATATATATATATATATATATATATATATATGTCGTACCTAATAGCCAGAACGCACTTCTCACCCTACTATGCAAGGCCCGATTTGCTTAATAAGCCAAATTTTCATGAATTAATGTTTTTTCGACTACCTAACCTACCTAACCTAACTTTTTCGGCTACATAACCTAACCTAACCTAACCTAACCTAACCTAACTTTTTCGGCTACATAACCTAACCTAACCTATAAAGATAGGTTAGGTTAGGTTAGGTTAGGTAGGGTTGGTTAGGTTCGGTCATATATCTACGTTAATTTTAACTCCAATAAAAAAAAATTGACCTCATACGTAATGAAATGGGTAGCTTTATCATTTCATAAGAAAAAAAATAGAGAAAATTTATTAATTCAAGAAAACTTGGCTTGTTAAGCAAATCGAGCCTTGCATAGTAGGCTGAGAAGTGCGTTCTGGCTACTAGGTACGACATATATATATATATATGTTAGTATATTTTGGTAGCAGTGTTTCTTGTAAACATATGTTGTTGAATATGTTGTTGTAACATATGTTGTTGAATATAACCGAAAAAGTAAGATTAATAATTCTAACACGATTTTTTTCAATATTTCTTATGTTTTTCTTCACTGTCGGTGGTAATGAAAATATCAATTCTCCAAAATTACTTTTTATTAATGGTCTGACGCCTAGAAGCGTTTCGTAAGGGCTTCTTACATTCTCAAAGACTTCTTTACACTTTTTAATTTAGTTCATTTATTATGCACCCCGTACCCTTCTTGTGGGCGGTAGTGGAAAGGGTTACAGAGGCACATAATGGGCTCAGGGACTGAACCCCACAATTCATGTCTTGCCTATATACTGAGTTCTTTGGGGCTTACAGTCCCCAAGTGGGCATTTAAAGGCATAGACGACATTAGTCTCCTTCAAAGCATTCTGCTTCGTGTCTGGGGAGTTTTTCATGAGTAGATTGGCCGTTTTTTTGGTTTTATAATAAACTATCAATTGTATTTTCTGATTTTTGTCTGTAGGGATGACGTTCTTATCAACAATATCTTTCAGGACCCTTTCCTCCGTTTTATGAGCCGTCGAAAAGAAGTTCCTGTAAAATAGTCTAATAGGGGGTACAAGTGTTGTGTTGGTTGACTCTTCAGAGGTTGCATGGTGTTTCACCTTTCTTTCTGAGGGGGGGGGGGGAGCCCCTACGGCTCCCCGGAGCTATCCATGGCTGATATGGATACCCTAACTATTTTTCATCAGTCGATGTGGGTGGAATTCTAGGGCCTACCGGGGACCACGAGCCAGAACCTGGACCCCTCACAGAGGCACGGGGAGCAATGGCCTATAGAAATGCACATGTCATTTGGAGCATTCTATATCTGCCATCGACCGGGACAGGCACCCAGAAAGGTAAGCGCCACAAACAAACCCCTATTCTGGTTAACAACGAAAATCGACAAACGAGTGGACAGAACTCCCCAAGAAAACGAACAAACAAGCATGACGTCACACTAGAGACGAAGTGGAAAAAATGCTCAAGGAGCTAAATAAGAACAAGGCAGTTGGTCCAGATGGAGTTTCACCATGGGTTCTGAAAGAATGTGAATGAGTTAGAACAAGTTAGGTGAGAAGGTGGTGGAGGCTAAGACCGTCAGTAGTTTCAAAGCGTTATATGACAAAGTGTGCTGGGAAGACGGGACACCACGAGCGTAGCTCTCATCCTGTAATTACACTTAGGTAATTACGAGCCGCGCCGCATGTCTGCGCATCTCCCCCCTCCTCGGGAAGGGGGAGATGCGCAGACATGCGCATCTCTTCTTGAGCCCGGATGGGCACATGTATAAGCAAGTAGATGGGGTCGCCATGGGTTCTCCCCTAGGTGTCCTGTTTGCGAACTTCTACATGGGTACCATCGAACAAAAGGTCTTAGTCGACATGAACTTGAAACCGGCCATATACTGCAGGTATGTTGACGACATTTTTACACAGGTACCTGATGTCAGACATCTGCAGGAGCTGAAGGAGGCATTTGAGAGGAATTCTGTGTTACATTTCACTTACGAGATGGAGAAGGATGGGAAGCTGCCCTTTCTAGGTGTAACAGTCATGGAAAGGAGCGGAGGTTTCCACACTGCAGTCTAAACTAAGGAAACAAACATAGGAATGTGCCTCAATGCCAACAGTGACTGCCCAGACAGGTACAAGAGGAGGGTCGTTAACGCTTATGTCGACCGTGCTCTCAGCCACAGCTCAGGATGGAAGCAAGTCGATGAAGAACTCTGTAGGGTAAGGCAGGTCCTAGTCAACAACGGCTTCTCCAATGGTTTCGTTGAAGACATCATAAGAAGGAAGGTGAAATGCCATGCAACCTCTGAAGAGACAACTAACACAACACCTGTACCCCCTATTAGACTATTTTACAGGAACTTCTTTTCCACAGCTCATAAAACGGAGGAAAGGGTCCTGAAAGATATTGTTAATAGAAACGTTATCCCTACAGACAAAAATTAGAAGATACAATTGACGATCTACTATAAAACCAAGAAAACGGCCAACCTACTCATGAGAAACTCTCCAGACACAAAGCAGAACGCTTTAAAAGAGACCAATGTCGTCTATGCCTTCAAATGCCCACTTGGGGACTGTAAGCCTCAAAGAATTCAGTATATAGGCAAGACAACAACATCTCTTTCCAGGCGATTAATGATGCATAAGCAACAGGGCTCCATTAAGGAACATATAATCTCTTCCCACAACCAGACCATCACCAGAGAAGTCTTAACAAAAAACACGGAAATCATCGATAGATACAGCGATAGCAGGCGCTAGATATCTGCGAGGCACTACACATTAAGAAGTCGACACCAGCAATCAACAGCCAATTAACGCACAACTATATTCTACCCACTTCAAGACTCCGCACCAGTATAGAAGCATCAAGAAATATGGGCCAATTGGCCCTTTGCAGTTACTTCCATTCTTCCCTTTAACTTACAAAATATTATACCCATTGTTTCGTGTTCTGTCTTGTGTTGAAAGTTTGTTTTCACCTCATCCAAAACTGTTGTAACACATCACCTCACCCAAATGCAGGTATAAAATCGAAGTTGTTTAAGCTCTGTTCAGTTATAAGTTGTGTGTGAGTGAACTAAAGTCTTTGAAAATGTAATAAGTTTTACGAAACGCGCTCAAGTGTCGCGTCAGACTAGAAATAAAAATGAATTTTGGAGAATCGATTTTTCAGTTACCATCAACAGTGAAGAAAAATATAAGAAAAATTGAGAAAATTCGTGTTAGAATTATTAATCTTACTTTTTCCGTCATATATATAATATATATATATATATATATATATATATATATTGGTGTATACTGGCAGCAGGTTTTCTTTCAAACATGTTTCATTGAATATGACCGCATATTCTGTATTTATTATTTTCTGGTTTAGGGCTTCTATCCCTCTAACTATTTTCTTAGCATCAGGGCTTAATTGGAATAGGAGTTCTCCAAAACTCATTTTCGTACTTTTAAGGTGAAGAAAAGAAGTGATTTACTATAGAGTGTATTACACTTATTTGTATAATTTGCACGACGTTTCGAACCTCCATGGTTCATTCTCAAGTGAACAGATCTTACAATACTAGTTGATTTTATACCCGCATTAGGTCAGGTGATAATACAATGAAGGTGAAAAACATGGGGGGATACATAAGGGATAAACATAGGGGCTGCAGAAGGCTTATTGGCCCATACGAGGCATCTCCTATCTAAACACAAAGATTAATCCAGTGTAATTGGC